GTCTCCTATTGATCTGAGTAAATTATAAAGAACAGCCAGTTAATTGAAGGATTATAGCACAGGCCTTAGTCAGATGGTATATTACGCTGTTTTTTTCCTGCTTCAAATAGTTCTCTCTTTTTTCACCATACCTGTGTTTGCATCACTGAAAATATATGAGCATGTTATGAGCATAGGATTTTGACCCCTCAGATAAACATAATGCTGCGCTATACTTTGCAGCCACAAGCCGTTGCCAAGCAACACTTATTGTTTAGGTCCTTTTTGATAAGGCAGTCATATCATTAACTAGAACTAGCTAGATCTGATAGATTTGGACATAAACGCGAGTGAAGTATAACCGGACGCGAGAGAGAGAGATCAGATCAGCTGCTGCTGACGGAGAACACGCAGCTCTTCCGGCATCAGACAGCTCCGCCCGTGTGACGGACCGTTGAGTGGAGCAAAATTAAATAGCATACTCTAAGAGTTAGACCTAACACACTTAGCTACAGTAGTTTATCTACTCTGGAACAAGCTAAACTAGTTTTAAATATATGTGTTCTTTACTGTCGTGTCGAGTCACTTACAGGTTCAGCGAGCTGCACGAGACTGACGGGCTGTCAGGAGAGGGAGCGGAAAAGAGAGCACCCCGTTTATTTTCCCATTTTATTATCCAGAATTACTGTAAACCTTTGAATAAAGTAGTTAATCTAGCCTACTATTAGTAGTTTGTTTAAATGCAGTAGCCTACTTATGTGTTTTTTCTTTTCATTCAAATAAAATAAATCTCACGTAACCCCTGCTGTACTCCAACGTACCCCTAGGGGTCCGCGTACCCGCATTTGAGAACCACTGAGCTAAACCAACACAGAGGACTTTTCTTTTACCGAGTGTTTCGACTCTTTAATTGTTCTCTATCTTAAATGCTTCAATTGTTCTTTCTCTACACATTTATTAATCTTGTAAATAGGTACTGGTCCATATAAAAGAAAATGTGTAATCATAACTTATTTTACTTGCTTTTCTTTCTCCAGTAAGCAGTCATGGGAGATTCAAGCCGAACGGAACTTGTGCATAAGGCCAAACTGGCTGAGCAGGCTGAGCGTTATGACGACATGGCTGAGGCTATGAAGTCTGTGACGGAGAAAGGCGAGGAACTTTCGAACGAAGAGCGAAACCTGCTGTCAGTGGCATACAAGAATGTTGTGGGTGCCCGACGCTCCTCATGGCGAGTGGTTTCCAGCATTGAGCAGAAGGCTGATGGAACCGACAAAAAGAAGACCATGTCCAAAGACTACAAGGATACGATTGAGAAGGAGCTGAATAAAATCTGCGAAGAAGTGCTGGTGAGTTTTTGAACGTTTACTTCAACAACATTGCTTGCTTAAGAATTCTGTTAACGCTTGTGTCATTTAGAAATAGTTGTCAACATCACTTTTACGCAAAACGTAGGTACCGCCGTGCAAGTCATGTAAGTGGCTAATTTTTCCCATTAGGATTTACACTAGTTGCCTATGGCCCTATATACAGACTACATGTTCAATTTATACATTTTGATTTAGTATTCATGCATGCAAATTAGTCGCTTTTCGTTGCCTCCCGCTTTTTTAATGCAGATTTGGGTGACTTGTGTAATTTGTGGAGAACTGAAGAGTTTCCGTTTTGGGGGGTACCAATAAGTAGCCGTACAAACGCCGCAGTTTTTGCGTGGCTGTGTCTTTAGTTGTCAGCCCAATGGCGATCTGTTGTTATTAGCATCTGGTTAGCTAGCTATGGTAACGAATTTATGAGCTTTTTCTACAACCAGGTGGAAGAGAGCTCTCTCCTGACAGACTGAGAGGCTCAAATAACCTCAGCTCAGTGAGGTTAAGGCACACCTTGATATGACCATTATAGTTCAGGGCTCAATGCTAACTTTTAAAAGTGGTTGCCAGGCTGGCAACCAGGCATCAGCTTTTGGTTGCCAAAACTGAAAATACGGTTGCCATTTTTAGTCACCTTATATTTTAAATAATTAAGATACTATAAAGTTATACATCAACTTAATAGTGAACATGTGACGCAAAAGAATGTTCAAATGCTTTACAATAAGTAATTAACACAATTATTATTATGAAACTTAATTGGTTGGAAACTTGTCCACCCTTAACTGCTGGTGTACAAAATACCAGTAGTGCAGCTGTGGTCATGTTCTTCAAAGATCCCTCAAAAAGGAAGTGAGCAAGTCACTTGTTTCTTGGTCATCCGTTGTCTCCCTTTCAAATGTGGGTTTTCTTGACCTTTGTGCTGACCCCCACCATAGATTAATTGGCCCTTCAGCATCGAAGTCTTGGATTGGCCAGACTAATACATTTCTAATGTTAAATAAATGAAATACATTCACAGTTAAGAATTAGATATTAATTATTAATGCTGTAAATTACCTTTAATATGTCTAACTATATTTAAAATGTGTTACCTTTTTATAGAAGTGATTATATTTGTATGCCAATATTTTCCTATGGTAAAGTTTCATTTAGCACTTTTATTTTGGTAGTAATAAGATCGTGACTCTTATTTTGGAGGAACTTTTACCGGAAGTGAATGCACAACGGAGTAGAATGTACTTATATATTTCGCCTCCCAAGACTTTACACATTTCCTCTTTGCTTTCGTTCGGGTTCATTTGTGCTTTATCAGTTGAATCACTTTTAACATTCGTTTGAGATGTTGACGGGTTGGCCAAACTTTTTACCCCACAGTCAAACAACTTAATTTGCTTCGACATTTTTTGTAAAACAAACACATGGCGCACCACGCACGCGACTAAACGCAATAGACTCTAGAGCAGGGCTATTCAACTACACATTCAGTTGGGCCAGATTTTATAACTACAAAATTCAGCTGGGCCAGACATTCAGCGGCCTGTAAAAAGCGGGTGGTGACAAATTGTAAACAAACACATATTACTGCGATGAAAAACATGCAATTTTTATTCATTGTTCATCTAACAAAGGTATGTCAAAAAGTGCATAAAAACACAACAAATTA